TTTTTTTTTTTTTTTTTTTTTTTTTTATTTCGTCTCTATTTCCTTTGTTTTACTCTGCTACTTCCTTTTAATATTTTCGGTCTGGTTATGGATTTCGCACATCTATGTGCGCGGACTGACTGAGATGATGATTGATGACTGATATCCTGTATTCACTATGTTTATGTCATGTTTATTGGACCCTTTTAGAGGATTTCCCCTGGTTTTGCGCAATACCCCATACATATCGAGAGAAAGGAGCAAGGGACTGCTGAGCTACATGGTTCTGGTTTTCGGCATTATTCTAGCATGAGGAGTTCATGACGAATAGAGAATGCGATGATACATATTCATTACTACCACTATACTGCATAAAATAATAGTACTTAGTACTTAGTACCCAGAGAGTAAGCCTCCTCCCATAAGATAATACTCGATACTAAGGTACTCCGCAGTCGAACACGGAAGTGAGTAATTTATCCTCAGCCGCAGTGACGGTTAGATCGTCCAACCGATTCAGCTCGCCTCACATTTCCAGAGACCCCCTCACCAATCATTCCCAGACACTAAACTAGCATCATCCGGTGCATTTCAGCATAGCCCCCAATCCCGGATAACTGCAAATCCACAAGAAATATGGTCCCCGAAAGAGAGTGAAACGTTCCACGTGGCACGGGTACCCCCGGCGCCCCATAACAAGAGTTGCCCATCCGATCAGTATAGTACTGAACTGACTGACGTACGTAGCTGACCCCTTTATCTCTTCCTTCCTTCTTTCCTTCAAGGATAGTCCAATTCCTTCAATCCCAGATCGACGGGTACACAGGATCATGCCACGGGCCTACTACCTGAAACGATAGTTCGTCCTAGATACATGCTGACACCTTCGTGTGTTTTGGTCGTCGATCGTGCAGGCTCGTGGCGCATTCCTGATATGCTCGGTAGGCATGTATACCGGTTCTAGAGATGCGCCCGATAGTGTAATGCAATGCGTTAGCCCTGGAGGTACTCCGGACACAGTAAGAAAATCACCGAGATTGATCGGCAAACAGAATGTCCACTTACGAACACGTACGTATCTGAGTGGACCTCCCTCTAAGCGTCTAAGAGTATGTATCGGCCGCCCAGAACCTATCCGCCGGCCGGCCGAGCTAGACTAGTGTATCAGAATTCAGCTGGGACTGGCTGGTGGGTGAGATTTTAGTTCGCATACAGATCGGCGGGTCAGCTGCATGCACCTTCATCTGGACTGAATGGAGAGCATCGACAGACTGTTTTCAGTTGTAATCTGTAAGTTGGAATAAACGGGGACCGTTCTAGCGTTAGACTAGTGTATGTAATCAGGTCGTAATGCATCTTGAGTCGCTCGTGGAATTTGTTTGCTTCCTTGCGTTCCCTCTTGTTTTGATAACAGCTGAACAGGGTTCTGGAATCCTCGTGCCATGTGGTCGGATTGTATCCGGGTTGGCTCGCAGTACGTAAAACAGTTGTCCAGACTGATGCGCGCGCTTCATCCTTCTTCGGTAAGGAGTGCCCTTTCTTTCTTTGTGCACTTTTTTTTTTTTATTATTTCTATTTCTGGCCCTCGCTGGGTGTATACTCCGTGCTCTTGTTTAGACGCCCGGAACTTCTTTGGGACCGGTACCGAGCAGCGCGATGATAGTGATGTCACAGATTTATAGGCTCGTGTCGAGAACAATGCCGATCTTCCCAATTGCTATTCTGGGGCGCAGCGGTGGCCAATATATTTCTGACAGCCATTGAATATGCAGTTGGATCCAACAGGGCTTAGACATCTTCTTCCAGAGGAGCAGATAGTTGTACCGAAAACAGATAGGATCGGATTGTTGCCTAGACATTGGTAGTCATAGAAGCTTTATTGTAGCGGTAGTGTAGCTAGCCCATCAATGCTGGTCAGACCCTGGCTTGCTTTTGGACAATGGGTCAAGACAATAGTCTCGCTAGTGAATTGTCAGAGCGTATTCGGATACACAGAAGAATATTTCCACGGAAATCTCAACAATTGCAGTCCAGATCTGTGCCGTTACTGCTTTGATATTCATGTGGTGAAGACTGAGTACTATATTCCTCGTGTTGACAGTTGGCAGAAACCAGCCCATCGAATACTCCGACGGGCAGGCTATGACGCGTGCGGGGATTTCAACGTCAACGCGGGGTGGGTTCCAGTCTCCCGGCTATCTACGTGCACATTACTACTCGGCCACCACTTAACCAACATTCTGCAGTAAATGCAAATCATACTATCCGTGAAGATTATCCCTCTTAGCACACATTAGATCCTGAAGGCCTTTCAAGCAGCCTAACTCATGGCTTCGCAAAACCCCACTCCATACCCGTTCCAATTCGACACTTCCGATCACATCGAAACACATAATGATACCACCACATTGACACTCAAGAATGTCCGCGGCAATATCCCCTCTGCACAGACCTCTCGTCTACGTACAATGTGGCTAGAAGCTCATCGAGATCCTACCAAAATCATAGCCCACCCCTGTGGCTACGACGGCCTTTCTGCGCGATTGATCGAGGAAGCCGGCTTCCCTATGATATTTATTTCCGGATTCGCCGTGGCAGCCTCGCATGGTCTCCCTGATACCGGGTACATTGCCATGGGAGAAATGTCCGCCCGGATCCAGGAAATAGTTCGTGTGACGAGTATACCGATTATGGTGGATGGAGACACCGGGTACGGGAGTCCTATGAATGTGCGACGCACCGTGGAGTGTTTTGCAGCGGCGGGTGCAGCGGGCGTGATGATCGAAGATCAGACATGGCCGAAGAGTATGTATTGGTTCTTTGGAGATGCGTCTTCGTGATAAGCTGGGTCAAGTCTAACGGAATCTTTGTACAGGATGCGGCCATACAAAGGGTAAATCAGTTGTATCTCGAGGCGAAGCCTACGCGAGGATACAGGCTGCTGTTGATGCACGTAATCAGGGACGGGATATATTCATCTTAGCAAGGACGGATTCATTGATCCACGGGTGGGACGAAGCGATGACTCGGGCGAAAGAGTTCAAGCGCATAGGAGCAGATGGCGTCTTTGTTGAGGCGTTACCTGACAGAGAAGCCATGAGAAGGTGTGCAGAGGAACTGGATATCCCTTTGCTTGCTAATATAATTGAGGGTGGAAAATCGGAGAACTTGTCTGCTAAGGAGCTAGCAGAGTTGGGGTTTGCAGCTGTCGCATACCCCTGGACGCTGGTAGCTGCGAGGCTTAGGGGCATTCGGGAGGCTTTGGATGTATTAAAGCGCAGTCTAATGACTGGGGCTCCGCCTATGATACTTGGGTACTCTGATGTCTGTGAGGGTGTTGGGTTCAACAAGTATTGGGTAAGTTTAGTCTCACTAGCTTGCGGGCTCGTATACTGATCTTTTCACATAGGACTTGGAGTCAAGATATGAGTATGATGAGGAAGGTCTCACAAACCCTCCCAAAACCGCTTGATATGGCACAACCTACATCAAATCGGAACTTGCCTGTCTGAATTCCCCGAAGTCGGCTCCGCGGACATGGACTCTAAACATCGATGACCCGATTCTTGCCTAGCTCGGCGCAAATACTACAAAACAAGCAAAAATAATGAATTAGCGAATAGCACTGAGATATGATATCATCCGAACACCACGTACACGCAAATGACCCATTGTTCATGTCAAGCAAAAAGTTCTCATGCGGCTAAATCTTCTTCAACTGCTGGCGGGGCTGATGGCCCACCTCGGCTTTAAGCTATTCGGCGTTCAAATCCGTGAAGGGCATCTGAGACCGGAGGTTCGGCTATAAGTACCACTTACAGATTAGGCTTCGGCTCAACAAATTCTCGGCCTGAGGCGTTCAGCCGACCAGCCAGCCCTATGGCTATATCTATTGACCGATGGTATCCACAAAAGTTGTGAACCCCTCCGAGGCGATGATATAATCGGAGATAAAATCGGAGAAGTAGTGGCGCAACAATGTAGCGATGATAGAGTAGAATAATGGTTCTCTACGTTGAACGTAGAAGCATTATGGTATAAATACCCACTGCCAGCACCGGTCCTCTAAATGCTCAAAATCAACAGACATAGGTGTATCATCTGAACATCTACTACTCCAAACAGCTACATCTATCCTCATACCCTGACCCAGAATTTACGTTCACAGTACTTGACACTCATCTACTACTATAACATCCTACCTTCAACACCCGAACTACAACCTACTACTTCCTCAAACACAACAATGGCCTCCCAAGACACAGTAAGTCCCCAACAACAAGCAAAGCCTGCCTCAACCCTTCTACAATCCCCTCCAATCTAATACCTATCTACACCAGATCCTTCAAACCAACGCCCAATTGGCCCGGGACTACATCCTCTCCCAGCCCAGCGATGCCCTAAACAACAACCCCTGGGCCGTATACCAAGCCCTCGACCTCTTCAGCCGCACCGCACGCCTCATGAACTTCAAACAAGCCAAGCTCAACGTCGCTAAAGAAGCCCTTATGTCCATGGAATCCCCACCCAAAGTTGTGATCGAATTTGGCACCTACATCGGGTGCTCCGCCGTCGCATGGGCTGCCATTCTTCGCGACCTGCACGGTCCCTTCGCCGAGGGGCTGCACGTCTACACCTTCGAGGTCAGCGAGGAGGTGGCGAGCGTAGCGAGGGACATAATCCGCGTGGCAGGCGTCGAGGACATTGTGCATGTGATGGTGGGGCCTGCGTCGGAGTCATTGGCGAAGCTGGTTGAGGAGGGCAAGATTGTGAAGGGAGGAGTCGATGTGGCTTTCTTTGATCACTGGGAGAAGTTCTACCTGAGCGATTTGAAGCTGTGTGAGGATTTGGGCCTCTTTAGGGTCGGATCGAGTGTTATTGCTGATAACACGGATATTCCGGGAGCGCCGGATTATTTGGAGTATTTGAGGGCTGGGGGACGAGGTGGGGAGGGTGCCGTGAAGTATGTGACGAAGTCGGTGCAGTCGGAGCATATTGTTGAGAGGAGACCGGTAAGTTGGAACCATTCCTTGTGTTGTTGCGCTGCTTGGGTTGTGGATGTTGGCTAATTATGACTGCAGAATATGGTGGAGGTCTCTACTGTTGTGGCGGCTCCTTGAGGGGGTATAAGTCTGGGTTTGAGAGGGAATGTCATACTGGTTATCATGATAATGAGCGTTAAGATTTAGTGGCATGTATGACAGTTTTTGTATGTTGCGTTGTTTTGGAAGCTTGATATCATCCGTTAAGATAGCAGGTTGATCTTGCAAATTCAAGTTACTGATATTACTGGCACATTTTCTCGAGTTTAGAAAATAGAAGTACTGATAAACCACTATACCCGTAACACATTGAAAACAAGATCACGATCAATGTAACTCCAGAATGTCTTTCTACCTTGTTTAGCAGCGAAGAACGATGCTGCCATCTAAAACTCGACAGCAATGTATGAACACAAGCACACTATTGGCTGACACCCCCTACCTCAGGGCGGTGAAGACACAACGATCCTGAACAACTAGGTGCAGTATAGACAACCCACCCAACCAACAAGCAGCAGCGCACTCCGCAATGTCTCCGTCAAAGACGCCCATGCTATGATGACACCAACAACAACAATTACGATGTGAATGCGCAAACACAGAAACAATCCCCCTCTACCATCACCATACCTATCCACAACAAGCAAAACCAAGTGATGCTGCATGCGCCAACATCCTGACGCCCTGCATAAAAGGACAACAACATCACTGTCCAACCCCGACACCTATAATCACCATCACGAGCCCCCTCCTCCGCAATGTACGTCGCAACCAAAAAACCCCCTCCAGCAAAAGCCCAACTCCTAACAATCCCCATCTAGGGCTGTATTCTCTCTCATAATAATCAACAAAGCCGGCGGGCTAGTCTACCAGCGCGAATTCCAGCCAGGATTGCGCAAGCTCTCGACAAACGACTACCTCGTCCTGGCGGGCACGTTTCACGGGTACGTACACACCAGCCAATCCAACAGCTACATCCATCCTCCCTACTACATATAGGTTCTCATAAGAGTAACCTACTAATCATTCTCTTCTCATTGATTGCACAGTGTCCACGCTATCACCCGCTCCATCACCCCCAAGCTCCCCCTCGCCCCCGCCGCAGCACTCGCAACAACACCCACCACCGCGACCACACCCTCCCCCAACAATGTCGTTTCTCCCTCCGCCACATCATCGACCCCTACCCCTTTTACAGCTTCATACTCGTATCCGAACCCCGGAGTACCCGCGACGGGTCTCGAGTGTCTAGAAACGGACAAGTTCCGATTAACGTGTTTCCAGACGTTGACGGGCACCAAGTTCCTCTTGTTTACGGATCCGCTGATGGCAAATATCGAGGTGGTTATGAAGAAGATATATGAATTGTATGCGGACTTTGTTATGAAGAATCCGTTTTATCAGTTGGAAATGCCGGTGAGATGTGAGGCGTTTGATCGGAATTTGCAGGGTTGGTTGAGGGGGAGGACTTGATTGATGGGATGGGATGGGCTAGATGGGTTTTATTATTGAGGTTGCGATGTGGTGGTGGTGGTGGTGGGGTTGTGATTGATACTTTTTTCTTTGTTGTTATAATTTTGCTTTTGGTTTTGCGGTTGCATGCATGGACATGTTTGATATCTGGGCGTCATAGTTTGTATCATGGAACAACATCAAGTTACGATGGCGATAGATCTACATATTAGATCGCATCCGTTTCAAAAGCGAGTTGCTGGAGAACCAACCGCTTTCTACAATTACAGCAAGAAAACGAAAGTACATTTAAAACGCCGGGTATGCATCAAATCATCCAGGAGGTTGTTCTGGTCTCCACATTAAGCAGTGTCCATCTTGTCACCATCCTCTTTCTTGTCTTTGCTCCCGCTGGAGCCCTCCTCGGGAATGTTGTCCAAGTTGGCTTTGCGCTCCTGCTCCTCCCGGTCCCGCTTCTCCTTTTCTTGCCGGTTCTTCTCTTCTTCCAGAGATAGACGGAGGGCGAATGCCAGTTCGGGGTCGTTCTCAGCCGCATCCTCGAATCCGAAGGCACCATCACCACCTTCGGGACCTGCACCATCGGCGCCGGAACTGTCCCCACCGAGGATGGGAGTGACCTGAAGCTCCTCACTCAGCAAGTTGGGGCCCGGGGGAATGATGGCGAGGTTAGAGCCGTCGCCACCCTTGACGTTCTCGACGAATGCCTCCAGTTTCTTGGTCTGATCGGATTCCAGATCTCCGAAGGCAATCACATCGATGGACACATTGTTCTTCTTCATCTTCTTGGCCAGCTTCACTAATGTCTTCTCGTCTTCTTCGATGGGAGAGCAGGAGAACACGATGATGCGCTGTCTCTGGGACTTCTCGGAGCGGTGTTTGAGGGCAAGCTGCGCCAGTCACCAGGTTAGCAATCAATTCCATAAACAGTACAGTATCTAAAGAAAGAGACGATGGGGTGGTTGGAAAACATACACCGGCCACTTGTATGCTGGAGCTAAGGTGGGCAGTGCCATGGATCTTCGTGCGATGCAGACCAGCCAAGATACCACCAAAGTCGGTGGTAAATGTCGAAAGGACCTCCGGACCCTTTCCACCCATGCTCATAAGGCCAACAGCAGACTGAGGGTGCACGCGCATCTTAGTGGTGTGAATGACGCTCACGGCGTCGATCTGAGCTTGCCATCGTGTCGAGCTGGCAGCTGTTAGAAACGGATCCAGGCGTACGATTCTGGGTATTTCAGAACAGGCAACTTACGTATAATCTCCATTTCTGCTGCTTTCGCTATTGTCGACACTGTAGATGGTGTTAGTAGGTGCGCACAGAGCTTGGGATGAAGGTGGCTAGACGGACATGATCATGGTAGCTTCGAGCGACATCTTGGAAGGAGACCGGCGAGGTTGATGATAGAAATGTGTAGGTATGATCAATCAAATTTGAAAAGAAGCAAGAATTCCTGAGAAGTATATGTTCGGAGCGTGGGAGCAAGGGAAGCGATGGGGGGAAGTGGATGATGGAGGTTGGCGGAGGAGGGATGATGATGGAGCTGCTGCTGCTGAGGACGCAGATGTCACACCGTCCCGATCGGAGCTAACCACGAATTAAGTCAGCGCTTGTTTATCCTCTCCGCCATCCGCTTTCCTCCAGAACTCACTCCAACGCGCTCCCCTCCGTCTCTCGATTTCCATCCCTTCCGCCCCAACTCCTCCACACAACACATTATACGCAATCCAGCTCACCTATTACTCCTCTTATCGCTGTTTCTCACCACCCACATCGACCACTCACGTTGCGCCCCAATGAGTTCACTCTCCGCCAAACGCAAGTCTGCCGAAGACGCGTCCCACAATGACGAAGCAAGGACACCTGAGAACAGCCCTCCTCGGAAGAAGCTTCGAATTACCCGCAGACAAAAGCAAGCTTTAATTGACAACTTGCAGCTCGAACGTGCGCTCTCTCGATACCTCGCTTATCTTGAAATCCCACTAACATAGCCACAGTCACCGAGCGCGCCCGCAAACTTCGCGCACAGTATGCCCTCCAGGCGAACGACCTTCGAGCACGGATTGAACGACGCGTGAATCGGATTCCCGTTGCTCTTCGTAAGGCGACAATGGGTGAGCTGCTGGAGAAACACATGGCCTCTGTCCGGGCCCAACAAGCGAATCTCTCTCCTCGGAAACTCCTCAGCCCAGCCAAGGCGTCAAGGAGTTTTAGAACCGTATCTGTTAGCCCCAATGTGCGCAAGGCCTCTGCTGCGAGCCCCAGTGCCCGCAGAGTCAAGAAGCAAAGGTATGGCCTGAACACATGACATGTACAACTGTGTATTGTTGAGCTTAGCTGACTCGACCATCCAGCCACGGAGAAATCTATTCCGACAAAGAAAACGCCCCTGCAGCTGGCGAACAGCTCGATGTCCTCAAGAATCCCAAGAGACGTGGACCTGGGGCCGCTGCTGGTACTTCGCGTGTTGTGTCCCAGGAGATGAGGGGTGCAGACTACAGAATTCTCTCACCCAAGACGTCCAACTCCAGAACATATCCACACTCGCCGCTACGCGCCTCACCCGAGAAGCCCACGAACTCTTCCTACCTTGCAAGACCCATGTCACCGTTGAAACCCATCAGTCCACTCAAATCTACATCCGCTAGCATTCCTGCACTGGCAGACAACACTCGCATCCGGCCAGTCAAGAGTACATCCACCTCAATCAAGGACAACAGGCCCCCATCACAGGCCAAGAGACCCGCCAGCCGAGCCGCCACAGCTACCAGCAAGACTACGCGATCACCACTGCCAAGGCCAGCAACTCGCCAGCTCGAACGCAGAGGCAGTGTGTCATCGTCCGCATCCTCCGGAACAACCGTTGCCAAGCCAACAAGGACAGGTGCCGGTGCCCGGAAGGCAACAACGGCATCGACTTCAAGCGCCACCACGAAGAAGACAACAGTCGCCCGAAGCCAAGCAACCTCCGCGACCGCGAAGAGAAACACAACTTCCGCTACCAGCAAAAGAGCTCCCACTCCTGCCGGTGGTGAAGCAGCTCCAACTGCAGCTCGTAGAGTCCTTCGGAAACGCGCGTAAGCGCTGTATCCTCAACTTAAATCAACCCTTTCAAGTTAGCATGTTTTGTTTCATTCATTGCCTTATCTGGAGGGACATGGAGTAAAGGGGTGTATTATCTCTGGACGGGATCATAATATGGAGGGATAACTGGTGTACAATTGGAGTTTTGTTTTGCCTTTTCCTCAAATCAGGTCCTTTCCTGACCATGCTGGTTTTTTTGTGATTGTGGTTTTTCTTTCTTGATTCTGCCGCTTATTCTTTATTACCGAATTCAAGTGGCCTTTCTTTCGAGTATTCGAAACATGTCCATCTTCATTGATCTTGCTCGTTAACTGTGGCAAGCAGAGTAAAGCAGCCTTCACGGGCTATAGTAGCAGTACTACATACCATCCTTGATAACCAAAGTAGTGTAATAAAATTGCGAGCAATTGCGGACAAGGTTCTCTATAAGAACTATTTTGGTACTATGCGTCCACCGTAATGATCATGATTAGATTGTTGCCAGCTAGCTAGCATTAAAGACCAACAAATACTAACTGGAGAAACATCTTTTTTTCAAAGTCTCACATTTCGGGATACTGATTACATTGGTTCTCGAAACATGGGACGCTTACAAGGAGCAAGTAGCAAGCAGCACACAACTTTGCGCACCTTAACAGAGTTGGCACTATGGCATTCCTTTCACAATTGTATGTAAATTACACCTCCTGTTCTCGAGGAAAACAGCATCACATGAAGACATGGATGTGATAGAACCAGTCACGAACAATTCGGGATATCAGAAGAAAAGAGAAGAAAAAAAAAGTTAAGTCGTATGGGTAGAATGTAAATAGGGGGGG